TCCCGGCCTGCGGGGATGGGGGGATGGGACCCGGCTGCCCTCAGACCAATCAGTCTCTCAGCAAGCACACAAAGGTCCTGCTGCTTCTACAACTGGAAACTTGGCTTGACGGCGAGGAGGGCATACTGTTGGACTGGAGTCAATTACATTTCATTTCAATCAGGAAATTCAGCTGGGCATCTTTTTCAGCCCAAATGATGAATAAATACATTACCGCCCCCCTCCCCCACTCTTTTTTTTTTAATGTCTAATTTAATTTGAGACCTTGGCTAACTGGACGAAAGTTGGACGGTGACAGGGTTTTTTTCGGTTTGGAGTTCCTGCTCCTGAAACAGGTGGTGCTCAAAATTGGACGATGCCGTGCTTGTTATATTGCTTCATCTACTCTGATTAGTTCCTCTCCCTTGTTCAGCGGCATCATTAACAGCAGGGCGACTGCTGTGTGATGTAGCAGAAGAAGCCTGAGGCGCACTGATCAAGCACAGAGACGCCACTTACAGTGAGAGTTAAAGTCAAGATTGACATTTTGGGAAGCACAATTAATAATTTCCTTCTTTGATAAAAAAGGACCAGTATCACCCTTGTATTTGTTATATATGTAGTAGGGATCGACCGGTATCCATCCATCCATTATCTATACACTTCTTAATCCTCACTAGGGTCATGGGGGGCTGGAGTCTATCCCAGCTGACTCAGGGTGAAGGCAGGGGACACCCTGGACAGGTCGCCAGTCGATCACAGGGCTACACTTAGAGACAGACAACCAAGCACACTCACATTCACACCTATGGACAATTTAGAATCACCAATTAACCTCAACATGTTTTTGGACTGTGTGGGAGAGAACCCACGCTGCATGGGGAGAACATGGAGACTCCACACAGAAAGATCCCGAGTGTCCTCATCGGGACACAAACCAGCGACCTTCTAGCTGAGAGACAACAGTGCTAACCACTGCTCCATCTTACAGCCCCTATTTGGAACCAATATGCATTAAATGTAATGTTTTAACAGCATGTGATAGAACCTGTCATTCATAATGAAGCTTCTTCATTAATGAGGGTGACTATAACTGAATATGTAAAATTGAAATAGGCGAAATTAAATCAGGACGCTCTTCTCTGATTATTTGGGATCGATTGTTTCCTGCAGTTCTCGTCTATTTTCTTAATCTTTCACTGATCTATCACTTTTATTTCCCACTAAGGTCCAGACCCTAACGCATGACTAATTATTGCTGTTTCAGGTTAATCTGTGGCTGCCTTTCACTGTGCAATAAAACATTATAACAAAAAAATGCAATATATTGTCAGCATTCTATTTTATATAGGTTTTATTCAGAGTTTCTTTCATTTAGATTTTCTTCTGTTCACACCGTTTTTTTTTAACCTATTTATTATTTTTACATATATATTCCCTATTTCATCTGTTTTTCTTTTTTTTTTTAGCCTTCTGCAACATAATTTCATTCTAATACGCGCTGTACCGTGTAAATCCGCAATGAAAAATAAAAAAAAGTCCTAACTTAGCTGCTAGCCGTTAGCATCGCATTAGCCACCGTGAGAGAAGCTAACTTCCTGGGTTGTGGCAACAGCTTGTGTTAGTCTCTGCTTGAGATACATTTCTGAGACCGTAGAGGGAAGACAATGGAAGAGAGGTTTCTAAATCAGACCTGAAGTCGTGCATTTAATTCATCAATAATCAGTCAATATAGGTACAAATACCAATCATTGGGAAACACCAGTTGTTGGCCCAATATGAAGCCAGAACCGTGTTAGCTTAGCCTGCACACTGGAAACAGGATGGTTTAGCTCGACTGGCATTGCCGTAAAAGATACATAAAAAAATATGCCTACCAGCACCTCTAAAACTCTCTAATTAACACATTATAGTTTGTTTAATCAGTGCAAAAACCTAAACGCACCAGACGTTCTTGGCTCTGAGCAGTTGCCAGGCAGCCAGCAGAGACTCTGGAAGTTAGCGCTCCCGGCCAAGAAGCAGCTCGCCACATAAACCTCCACAGAACCGAGGATTGCCATTACACCTCTCATCGAACTTCACTCCAGAAAGCCAACAAGAACATTAAAAAAAAACAAAACAAAAACAGGCTGATCTGCTGCTAGCACTTTATCTGCCGCAGCTTGCAGACAGCGTTTTTACTATTTAAACGGATCACCTCGAGCGTTTCCTCCGCACATCGCATCATCTTTTGTGCATGAAAAACCAACAGCATATGATCTCATGGTGTTTATCTAAAGAGGCTTAGTAAAAACTGCATGCGCTTAATTGTTCGCCGTAACAGCGCCGAGCCCTTGTTTATGTGAACTTGCATGTCGGTTCTCATCCGGAGAAATGCCCCTGATGTGGAAGACAGAAGAAAAGGCCACCCACAGGGCAAGTAGCTGTCATCGTCGATTCACTGGGGGCTGAATTTAGTCAATTCTGAAAAAAAAAAAAAAAAAAACCCACACCTTCTATTGAGAAACTCCACAAAAGAGACCTCTTACATTCTCTGGCTGGGAGATTACTGGGAGGGCTGCTGCAATTATGCGTTCTCATGCTGAATGGAGTGGAGCGGAGAGTTGTAGCTAATCTGCAACTCAAACAAGAGTAAATCTAAGCTAATCAACGGCAAATTACAATGCTAGGCACAGGCAAAAACATAACAACTCGGGATGGGTGTGTGTGTGTGTGTGTGTACTGGTGATTCATGCTATGCTTTTCAAACCGTGGTGAAATACACCCTCAGGCAAGAAACAGCTTAGTCAAAGAGCCACTCAAACACACCGAGAAGGAAATAAACACACAGCACTGCAAGAGCACGCAAAAATGTTGAAACACTAAATTACACTGCACATGAAAACTATCAATCAGAGCCTGTCACAACAGCACTTAATAATAAAGATGTCAAAGAGCTGGTGTGTGCGGGAATATAAGCGCAGAGGAGCCTCGAGACGTCCAAATAAATGATTTCATGGCTGGTAGTCGGTGCACGGAAGGTCCCGAAGTCTTACCCAAGACTTGGCATCTTTGTATACGAGTGAACAAGCGAAGATGCAGATATGATGCATTTTTAACTACCAACAACCAAAAGTGTTGCTAAATCGACTGAAATCTTGAAACCTAAGCAGTCTCTGAGTGCTTTTCTTTTGCTTTTGTCACGTTTTTACTCACTTTGGGCTCATTTTTTGAGGTGATGCACAAACGGCACAACCATGACTAGAGGTAGAGAACCTCTGTGCATCATGACAAAGTTATAATAGCATAAATTCTAGGAATTAAAAAAATGTTTTGATTATTTATTTGTACAATAACTAGAAAAAAATAGAATATTCAACAATTTTCCAAATACCCACAAATGCTACCAAAACTGGGGAACAAATGGTGGCTCTGCACACTATAAATATTTCACTACCGTAATTTTTAGACTATGAGCGCACCTGAATATCAGCAGCACCCGCTAACTTTAAAAAGAAAAAAAAAATTGTACATATATTGGCCGGACTTGTCTATAAGCTGCAGGTGTCCACGTTGTAACATGAGATATTTACACCGAAAGATTTTTTTAAAACTTTTAATTAAAGACGTTCCAGTAACATACACAAATACGAACCGTAAATGCTTTTTTCCAAACAGTACCTGTAACAAGGCTGGTTGAAAAAGTAAAAAATACAGTCACCTACCAGGAAAAGTCATTGATCGCTATCTTCATCTTCCTACTAAAAACACTAAAGTCGTCTTCTTCAGTGTCGGAAATGAGCAGCCTCAGAATTCCTTCGTCACACACTTCCTCAGTCTTTCTTTCGTTGTCGCTCTCAATGTCACTTTAGTGTCGAGGCAAATTCGTAAAAATCGTAAAAATCCATAAACTAGCCAATCATTGTTTGAGCCGCAGTGTTCAAAGCGTGTAAAAAAAGTAGCAGCTTATAGTCTGGACATTACGGTATGTCACTCAAGAGTTTATGGCTGCATTGGTGAAGGCAGATTTTGTTGTTGTTGTTGTTGTTTTTTCTTTTTACAGAATCTGGTTAAAACAAAGCATTTATTTTTTTGATGAATTTTTAAATGAGACATGTAGAATAAAGTGCTTTTGACTAAACATGACCATTTCAAGCTTAGATCTGCGTTTTTCCACCAGAGCTGGAGTTGAATCTGAATCTGTCTTTACAGTTTCTGGCTCTGATAAATGGTGTCATTTTATTGATTTTTTAAAAAGATAACACGTCTCTCAAACCCGCTAACGTGCGGTAGGGTTCAGGGGGTTCAGAAAGCACCTTTAAAAACGTTTACAGTTGAAAACTGGTTTACAGTGGTATGGTGGTGAGCAGGGAGATACAGGCCAGATAACCCACGCTGTTTAGACTGAAAATAACCCTGCATCCGAGGGCTTTCCTCAGCGTGGGCATGTCGCTGCAGGTACAGGAGAGGAGATGAAATACCATCCAGGAAGTCCGGGTTGAATAATAAGTCTGAGGTGCTTATCAGACGGCGGTTTAGGCTCGAAGAAACAAAGTGGCGGCGATAATTTTACTCCTTGTGCTCAATGAATGTGAGTCAAACAAAAATAATTAGCACAATGCTCAAGTTTACACACAACAAGTATATAATATGCATGTACTTGATTAGTTGAAACGGTGTGTTGCCGGGTGATGCTGGGTGATTGCTGGAGTGCTCTGCGTCATGCCCCCGCTGCTGCAATGAAATGGGTCTTATTGAAATTAATGGGAGGGCTGTGTGTGTGTGTGTGTGTGTGTGTGTGTTTTAACACAGCGCCATTGTTGGTCTAAATGTGGCCTTAGGTGTGAGAAGGGTAATGACGGGGCTGCTTCTTCTGAATAGAAGAGACGCAAACAGCAATTTCTCTGGTGGTTATGAAGCTTTTGACTAAAAAAAAAAAAAAGAAACTGTACTAATATTTGCTGTGTGATCTCATAAATAGTTTTCACAGATTTCTAGTTAGAGTAGCACAATCAAAACATCGATAAAAGACAGCAGCCTTGTTGTCCGTTTTGACAAATCAAATTTTAATCGTTTTTTTTTATTGTAGAAATTTGTCACAATGATTCCACAAGTTTGTGATTTGAAGCGATTTTCCTGGCTGGTGCTGGTCATATGTCAGCAACGGTAACTCCTGATAAAATGTTGGGACAACCCAGTGGAAAAGAGTTTTTTTTTTTTTAAGAAAGCATAATTTGCCATGTTCCCGTGAGATCAGACGGTTTGTCTTCCTCCAGCGTCACTCTGCAGCTGACGGGACCAGCCCCTTCTTGGCACCCTGGTGGTACTGACTCTCCAGCTTCCCTGTGAGAGGAAAGAGGGAGGAGGAGGAGGGGGGAGAAAGGGGAAGAGTGGGAGGGGGAGAGAGAGAGAAGAGGAAGGGATGAATCAAAACACCATCAAAGGGACAGAATGACCTTTCTGAGAGCTCAAGGCCTGCTGATTACAGGCGGCCTCGGGTAGATGCACAGAGACAGGCCGTGAGAGAGCGAGTGTGAGACAGCGAGATGATGAAGTAAAAGACCTACGAGACCTTTTATTCCAGGGCAGAGAGAGATCGGCAACAAAACAGGGTGTCTTTTAATTCAGTTACACACCGAGGATGCATATTCAAAACAATCCGATGGCAGCAAAGACCACACACACACACACACACAAAGGATGATGATGTAACACTGAGCTACAAGTAAATACACCTTGTCATTTTTTATTTTTTTTGCTGCCTTGAACAAATTAGATACATGCAGCGTTACATTAAGACAATGCAGTCATACACAGCCGTCATCACAGTCACACAAGGACTAATTAAAACCATCTCACTGAGCAACAACTGAATCACGCTGTGGTAAATGACATCCTTTACTTCAAGGTTAGTGGCGACAGCTTACATGATCACTATAATCAGGTGTAGATAGCAGAACGGGTTGTGTAAAGGTTTGAAAGGCCACAAGGAAAAATTTCGATTTTTCTCCAAAGGTTGGCCTCCATCATGGTCCTGTATGGATTATAGTCAGAACATCAAAGCTCTGTGCTCTTGTGAAATACAGGCGTGACTCGATAATCCGACCCTTAACAATCCAAAACTTTGCTATCTGACAGGTTTTTAGGAAAAACAAACGGAACCCATTAAAAATAGCCTTAACATACCGACAGCCTTGGATTCCGACTCCGACATGACATTTTATGTCACAAATTAGGATAACGGCGTATTATCTGACTGAACAATCCGACAGATTGGCTATGTTCAGACTGCAGGACTTAATGCTCAATTCGGATTTTTTTTGTGAAATCTGTTTTTTTTGCGAGTTCGTTCACATTTACAATTAAATGCGACTTGTATGTGATCTGCTGTGTGAACTTCATACGACACAGAAGTGTCCCACATGGACAGAAGAGAACATGACGACGTCACACGCAGTGAGCGTGCTCAGTGTTTGCGGAAGTAAACACGGATGGTAACGGTGGAGCGTAACTGCCACTCCCTCGCCGCTGCCACCGATGGTGGAAACAGAAGTGTGACCGCTAACTAAACTGGCATCAGTAGCCAAGTACTGCCTGTGCGTTCCGGCCACTTCCACCCTGTCGGAGTGCTCCCCCGGGGTGGAAGTGTCCCCACAACCGCACAGAATATTCATCATTAATTGGGCTGAAATATCCAGAGTCCAGAAAGTGGTATTCGGACCAGCCCTACTAGTTATTATAACAACTATAAGCAATGAATATTTACAACAAATGACCGTTCAAGCATCAAGCCCTCCTTGTATCTCGACCTCCGTCTTGACAATCCGACAGCCTTGCTATCTGACATAAAAGAAGGTTTTATATTTAGTGTCGGATTATCGAGTCACGACTGCAAATGGTTTTGTTTTGTTTTTTGTTGAAGTTTCGCATTATTAAATGATCTTGATGCTGCTGATATCACATTGTAATCTGAAGAGTTCCAGAAGAATCTACAGTAAACAAGATAGTATCATCAGTATAAAGTGAGTAAAAGAAATAGCAGGAGGGCAAATACTGATTCTTGCACGAACATTTTCATCAGTCAACTTCATTTGAAGCCATCGGCAAATGTCAATTTGTACCAAAAAGATACATTGTGTATAATCAAATAATAAATTCTTAAAAGAAATTTGCAGTAAATGTGTAAAAGTATGAAAAATATAGAATTTTGAGACTAAAATCTGGACGTGCAGAAGAATCGGTGGCAAACAAGATGGACCTGTCAGCATAAAGGCAGATCAAACAAAACTGCACTGAGGTGGTCAACATGGGTTTTTGTGGGACAATTTGCTACCTAGCCAAATTTTAAATACTTGTTTTATTGTACAGTTTTTATATATTTATTCTTGTGGTGTCAAATTAATAAAAGAGACTAAAACCTGGATTTATGGAAAAGTCAGTGACATACAAGACTGCATCGTCAGCACAGAAAAGAACACTGTAATGTTCAGTTGGAAAACAAATATTATTTATGTGCAGAAAACATACTTGGGGGGCTGATAGTGAGTCTTGTGTGAAACTTTAATTGACCAACTTGACTTCTCAGCTCTTTCACAGAGATGTGATTTGTAACAGGTCTACACAGAAATCCAGAGGAAAGCAGGAAATATTCTAGGAGTAACTAATAAACACTAGTCAGTATTTGTCGGTACTCTCCACTAATGTCTCAAGGGGAAGATGATGTCTGTGCTTGTGTTTTTGTCTGCCATCAGTCGAGGACTCCTTCATTAATCCTTTAGGATTTTGTAGCTGGACGAGCTAACAGCACCTGCACAAACCTGATGATTAGCAGACTACCGTCGTCATAAAACAGTAGTTCCATTGTTGTGATCATTTCCATGGTTATAATCTGCTGCATATAAATTCAAGTGAGCCTCAGATGAGAATGTTTACAAAGATGAAACAGCTGAGAATCTTAAAGAGGGATTTTATCAAGGTGCTATTTATACGAATGCTTGTAGCTTGTAGCTATGGTGTGTAAACAAAAACCCCTGCAGCCACTGACCGGAGCTGACCTCCTAATCTACCGTAACTGAAACCCTCCTCTGTCAATACAGCGTCCCCAATATTGATCACGTTTCAGATTTGTCTTTTAGAGCTCATCCTCACCAACCACGCTGCGCTGCTTTGTCCTTTTTCTGCAACAGGGCAACCTCTGCCGGGCTTCGATAACCCGCGTTGACCTCATCCTTGACTTCAAAGCGAATAATAACCCTGTTTCTCAGTGTGTGCGCCTCACACAAGCCTCCTGTTTGTCAAACCGCGGCATTAGCTGGCTGTTTTCCCCGTGGCTGAGGCAGGGAGGAAAAAATGATCCAAGTGTGACAGGCAGGGGTGGTGGTTGTCACTTGTGCTTTCTTTTCATGTTGTCACGTTATGGCTGAACTCTGTGGGTAGTAGCAGCATAAACAAGGTGTTTAGGAGAAGTGCTGTTTGCTCACCATTTCCAAGCCTGACTGAATGGCTGTCAGTGTCTGTCTGTTCTGCCAGCAGCAAGCGCTGCTTAGGCGTGGAAACACCTCTGGAATTTTTTTTTTTGGGGGGGAGAATGCTGCCAAAAGGGTTATCCAAGATTACTTTAATGATACATTCACCATACCAGAAATACATCATAACTTAAAAAGGCTTTTTTTTTTTAACATTCAGCACACAAGGTCTAAGAGCAGTCCCACTGTAGCCTGTATTTTAGAGGAAAATAAATATTAGATGCTAAGAGCCCAATAACTATATCATAAAATAGCGAGATGGCAGCTGAACTCCAGGGAGCAGGAGTCAGAGTGGTGTTGTGCCAGCATAAGCAGACTTTCTTTTTGGGAAAGTGTACTAATGCTCCAACTCCTCTAACTCATTCAGCCCTTTCCTTTGCTTCCTTTTGGGTGTTGTGCGAGTGGAAGCTGGAATCAATATTGTGGAAAATGGGCTCTGGCAGTTTTCCTTGTCATGACACAGTGACATTTCTATGAAATGTCGTGCATCAGCGTATATGAGAAGGAACTGATTGGAACAATCAAAACAAGCACTCAAGGAACGAGCATTTATCATTTAGAACTGAGTAAGTTTCTTATTTATTCAGTGTCTGCGCAGTTATCCCCATATGGTTTCTTATCTTAGCGGAAAATCATTTAACTTCAAAGGCAGCTGAGGGTGCACTGTCTCCAGAGCTGACATGGTCGTGGATGGGTAGAAGAGCTGCGGTATCATATAACAATATCAGTCGTGTTCAGGATGGAATGTCACATCAAAAGGTGCCACTGAATTCAGAAAATGCAGGCAGTACTTACCTTACATTTTCTACTGATGGGTGTGAAAATAACGCAGTTTTTGTCTAAAAATGGCTGCTTCCTCCACAATGTGCACCAACACACAGTCATGTTAGGTATGTTAAAAAGCTCGATTTTAACCAGAGGGCGACGTTAAATGTTTGAAATACCTCCTTAGGCGAAACATGGGTAAATAACCAGCTTTTATGCACCTAGCCACTGACAACCAAGGACAACAACAGATTTAGGGCCTCGTAACAAATCACACTCATTATCTTCGCTGGGCAAAGTCAAAGCAGCAACGTTACATATTCCACGTGTGAAGGCGACTTTTGTTAATGGCTCCGGAGCTGCTGAGCTGTCGCATTTCAAAATAGGTGCTGCGGAGTCGGGAGAGCTGGAAGGGAATGCAAGCAAAGATGAGGAAGGAGGGAGGGGGGAGGAGAGGGTAGCAGTGAAGGAGTGGGTGGAAAAAACAGAGAGACAGCAAAAATGAGACAGAAGGGATGAGGAGGAGAAGAAGTGGAGGGAGAGGGGGATGGGGAGGTAAAGGGGAGAAAGGGATACAGACAGGAGGACAGCAGCAGAGGTAGAAACAGAAAGGCTGGCCCATCGATTGGCTGAGATAATTTCCCATTGATTGCTGCACTGTTTGGAGATTGCTGGAGAAAGGTTTATTGCCCACACGCTGCAGCTGGGGAGGAGGCCATAAAATAAGCACAGGTTGTCTGCTGAGGGCTAGCTCCATCATCAAGACCGTAAAACACACTCGCCGAGCCACATGCGCTGCACTTGGATACTCTCCTTACATATTAACAAATATGACTGCATGCATGCTATTCCCATTACGCATAATGGGAGAATGCAGCTCATTGCTAATGGAAAACGCTCTCACATAATCCCTTGAAAATCCAGGGGCAGCAGTGCAAAGAGTATTTATTAGACTGAAATAGAGGTCCATTGACATCCTCGCTGACATCAATAACATGCAGGCCCATCAGCTTCCTTGCAATAATAATCACAAGAATAATTGGCTGGCTGCTG